TTGCAGGTTTCGGGTGTAGAGCTAGACCCGAAAACAGGCCATAACCAGTGGCAATGACGGCTGCCCTACCTGTTTAGATGCCCACGAATTGTAGATCCGAAGTATGAAGTTCATCATCATCATCATCATGATTTTAGGGTTTAGGGTTTCTGGTTTATGGTTTAGGGCTTTATCTTGCCCATTAAAGGCCAATAGTTGGCCGCCCCGTAACCAGCTATGGCTTTAGCGAGGGTACCTACCCTTTCTGGGATTGGATCAGGGAACCTAGAGCCCAACAAGGGCAAAAGACTTGCAGGGTACCACGGGACCACCATGTGAATCCCTACACTCTGAACTATCCCAAACCCTAACCGTAAACTCTACGGGGAACTGATTTCGGGTGGCCCCCAAGGAATTACCGGCAGAATGTTGTTCAAGGATACAGCTCAATTCAAGCATTTTGGGGTCCTCCATTTTGGGGCAGTATTTTGGAGTATTTTCGAGCCTTGCGCCCAGCCAACTTGAGATTCCGAACAAAAAGCAAAAACGCGAACGTTTCGAACTGAAGCACTTCACCACTACGCCCGCACGGCCAAGATCCCAGCAGAACGGAACTACTAGGTCGAAACGCTTCGGTAAACAAGCTTTGGTCCATGCGTCTTGGGACCCAAACGCTCTACGACGTCTTCAAAACCCCTACCCCCCAAATACTTAAAACCCAAACCCGAAACTCTCAACCCTCAACCCTCAACCCACACAACCCACAACCCTGAACCCTCAACCCTAAACCCTCAACCCTAAACCCTCAACCCTAAACCCTACCATCTGCCTCTTGCAGCCGAGTCGGAGTCAGTGTCGCCGGCCTTTGCGAATCTTCGGGGCTTCATTCAGGATATGGTGTTTAGGGTTTAGGGTTTAGGGTTTAGGGTTTAGGGTTTAGGGTCTAGGGTTAGAGTTTAGGGTTTAGGGTTTAGGGTTTAGAGTTTAGGGTTTAGGGTTTAGGGTTTAGGGTTTAGGGTTTAGGGTCTAGGGTTTAGGGTTTAGGGTTTAGGGTTTAGGGGTTTACAGCTTAGGGTTTAGGGTTTAGGGTTTCCGAAATTCAGGGGGTTACCTCATTGTGGTCTTTACTATAAGGAAATCCTACTATTTGGGGGTCTATTTTGGGGGTCCCCATTGTCGTAAAACCCCCATCATATGGTGTTTAGGGTTTAGGGCTTTGGGGCCGACGGAGGCTGAAGACTTGGGTTTCGGGTGCAAAGGTTCGTTGATGAGCGGAACGTGTCTCGTCAAGTGTCTGGAGTGGGGCTCCCGTCGGCAGAGTACAGCGGATGCAGAGTTGAGGTACTGCGCAAGTGTGCGAGAAGTGGCTTGAGCAAAAACATGCAAAAACTCTTCTGCTGGGGCTTTGGCAGCATTGGCCTCTCAACGCTGGAAGGCTCCGGCGCAGATGCGTCTTGCCTCACAGTCGCCGCTCTCAAAGCCTTCTTCGCCACGATGCATATGACTACATATGACCGAGTGCCAAACGGCACATCCACTCTTGGCTTCTCGTCAAAGCCTGGCTGCCTTGGCCCGTGATGGTTATTGAGCGTGCCAGGGTCATGTCTGCATGATTTCGAGCCTGCTCTAACCCTCAGATGCGCACCCTGCCGTGTGGTCCTCCACATGTTCTGCTGCTGCTGGCTGATCTTGCCTGGTGATACTGGCAACACGCCCCCATGTCTGTCACTTGGTGTCACGCAAGTGTATGTGAAGTGGTTTGCGCGAGAACTCTTATGCCGGGGCTTTGGCTCCAGTGCAGATGCATCTTGCCTCACAGTCGCCGCTCTCAAAGCCTTCTTCGCCCCGATGCATATGACTACATATGACCGAGTGCCAAGCGGCCCCGGCACATCCTCTCTTGCCTTCTCACCACAGCCTGGTTGCCTTGGTCCGCGATGGTCTGTGAGCGTTCAAGGGTCATGTCTGCGTAACAACACGGCGCTGGCTTTTTGCGAAGTCTTGCAAGACTCATGGCAAGGCTGTAACCCTCAGATGCGCACCCTGCCGTGTGGTCCTCCACAGGTTCTGCCGCAGCTGGCTGATCTTGCCTGATGATACTGGCACTGCGACCCTGGCTCTACAACTTGGTGTCACGCAAGTGTGCGAGAAGTGGCTTGAGCAAAAACATGCAAAAACTCTTCTGCTGGGGCTTTGGCAGCATTGGCCTCTCAACGCTGGAAGGCTCCGGCGCAGATGCGTCTTGCCTCACAGTCGCCGCTCTCAAAGCCTTCTTCGCCACGATGCATATGACTACATATGACCGAGTGCCAAGCGGCACATCCACTCTTGGCTTCTGGTCAAAGCCTGGCTGCCTTGGCCCGTGATGGTCATTGAGCGTGCCAGGGTCATGTCTGCATGATTTCGAGCCTGCGTTAACCCTCAGATGCGCACCCTGCCGTGTGGTCCTCCACATGTTCTGCTGCTGCTGGCTGATCTTGCCTGGTGATACTGGCAACACGCCCCCATGTCTGTCACTTGGTGTCACGCAAGTGTATGTGAAGTGGTTTGCGCGAGAACTCTTATGCTGGGGCTTTGGCTCCAGTGCAGATGCATCTTGCCTCACAGTCGCCGCTCTCAAAGCCTTCTTCGCCACGATGCATATGACTACATATGACCGAGTGCCAAGCGGCCCCGGCACATCCTCTCTTGCCTTCTCACCACAGCCTGGTTGCCTTGGTCCGCGATGGTCTGTGAGCGTTCAAGGGTCATGTCTGCGTAACAACACGGCGCTGGCTTTTTGCGAAGTCTTGCAAGACTCATGGCAAGGCTGTAACCCTCAGATGCGCACCCTGCCGTGTGGTCCTCCACAGGTTCTGCCGCAGCTGGCTGATCTTGCCTGATGATACTGGCACTGCGACCCTGGCTCTACAACTTGGTGTCACGCAAGTGTGCGAGAAGTGGCTTGAGCAAAAACATGCAAAAACTCTTCTGCTGGGTGGCCTCTCAACGCTGGAAGGCTCCGGCGCAGATGCGTCTTGCCTCACAGTCGCCGCTCTCAAAGCCTTCTTCGCCACGATGCATATGACTACATATGACCGAGTGCCAAGCGGCACATCCGCTCGTGGCTTCTCGTCAAAGCCTGGCTGCCTTGGCCCGTGATGGTCATTGAGCGTGCCAGGGTCATGTCTGCATGATTTTCGAGCCTGCGTTAACCCTCAGATGCGCACCCTGCCGTGTGGTCCTCCACATGTTCTGCTGCTGCTGGCTGATCTTGCCTGGTGATACTGGCAACACGCCCCCATGTCTGTCACTTGGTGTCACGCAAGTGTATGTGAAGTGGTTTGCGCGAGAACTCTTATGCTGGGGCTTTGGGCTTTTTGCGAAGTCTTGCAAGACTCATGGCAAGGCTGTAACCCTCAGATGCGCACCCTGCCGTGTGGTCCTCCACAGGTTCTGCCGCAGCTGGCTGATCTTGCCTGATGATACTGGCACTGCGACCCTGGCTCTACAACTTGGTGTCACGCAAGTGTGCGAGAAGTGGCTTGAGCAAAAACATGCAAAAACTCTTCTGCTGGGGCTTTGGCAGCATTGGCCTCTCAACGCTGGAAGGCTCCGGCGCAGATGCGTCTTGCCTCACAGTCGCCGCTCTCAAAGCCTTCTTCGCCACGATGCATATGACTACATATGACCGAGTGCCAAGCGGCCCCGGCACATCCTCTCTTGCCTTCTCACCACAGCCTGGTTGCCTTGGTCCGCGATGGTCTGTGAGCGTTCAAGGGTCATGTCTGCGTAACAACACGGCGCTGGCTTTTTGCGAAGTCTTGCAAGACTCATGGCAAGGCTGCAACCCTCAGATGCGCACCCTGCCGTGTGGTCCTCCACAGGTTCTGCCGCAGCTGGCTGATCTTGCCTGATGATACTGGCACTGCGACCCTGGCTCTACAACTTGGTGTCACGCAAGTGTGCGAGAAGTGGCTTGAGCAAAAACATGCAAAAACTCTTCTGCTGGGGCTTTGGCAGCATTGGCCTCTCAACGCTGGAAGGCTCCGGCGCAGATGCGTCTTGCCTCACAGTCGCCGCTCTCAAAGCCTTCTTCGCCACGATGCATATGACTACATATGACCGAGTGCCAAGCGGCCCCGGCACATCCTCTCTTGCCTTCTCACCACAGCCTGGTTGCCTTGGTCCGCGATGGTCTGTGAGCGTTCAAGGGTCATGTCTGCGTAACAACACGGCGCTGGCTTTTTGCGAAGTCTTGCAAGACTCATGGCAAGGCTGTAACCCTCAGATGCGCACCCTGCCGTGTGGTCCTCCACAGGTTCTGCCGCAGCTGGCTGATCTTGCCTGATGATACTGGCACTGCGACCCTGGCTCTACAACTTGGTGTCACGCAAGTGTGCGAGAAGTGGCTTGAGCAAAAACATGCAAAAACTCTTCTGCTGGGGCTTTGGCAGCATTGGCCTCTCAACGCTGGAAGGCTCCGGCGCAGATGCGTCTTGCCTCACAGTCGCCGCTCTCAAAGCCTTCTTCGCCACGATGCATATGACTACATATGACCGAGTGCCAAGCGGCCCCGGCACATCCTCTCTTGCCTTCTCACCACAGCCTGGTTGCCTTGGTCCGCGATGGTCTGTGAGCGTTCAAGGGTCATGTCTGCGTAACAACACGGCGCTGGCTTTTTGCGAAGTCTTGCAAGACTCATGGCAAGGCTGTAACCCTCAGATGCGCACCCTGCCGTGTGGTCCTCCACAGGTTCTGCCGCAGCTGGCTGATCTTGCCTGATGATACTGGCACTGCGACCCTGGCTCTACAACTTGGTGTCACGCAAGTGTGCGAGAAGTGGCTTGAGCAAAAACATGCACAAACTCTTCTGCTGGGGCTTTGGCAGCATTGGCCTCTCAACGCTGGAAGGCTCCGGCGCAGATGCGTCTTGCCTCACAGTCGCCGCTCTCAAAGCCTTCTTCGCCACGATGCATATGACTACATATGACCGAGTGCCAAGCGGCCCCGGCACATCCTCTCTTGCCTTCTCACCACAGCCTGGTTGCCTTGGTCCGCGATGGTCTGTGAGCGTTCAAGGGTCATGTCTGCGTAACAACACGGCGCTGGCTTTTTGCGAAGTCTTGCAAGACTCATGGCAAGGCTGTAACCCTCAGATGCGCACCCTGCCGTGTGGTCCTCCACAGGTTCTGCCGCAGCTGGCTGATCTTGCCTGATGATACTGGCACTGCGACCCTGGCTCTACAACTTGGTGTCACGCAAGTGTGCGAGAAGTGGCTTGAGTGACAACTCTTATGCTGGGGCTTCGGCAGCATTGGGCTCTCAACACTGGAAGGCTCAAGCGCAAAAGCATCTTGCCTCACAGTCGCCACTCTCAGAGCCTTCTTCACCACGATGCATGTGACCATGTATGACCGAGTGCCGAGCGGCGCCGGCACAGGCTTCTCGTCAGGGACTTGCTGCCTGGGTCCGGGATGGTCCGTGAACGTTCAAGCGTCATGTCTCTATACTCACGGCTCAGCATCGGTTGGGTTTTGTGAAACTTTGATTCTCATGGCAATGCTGCATGTCTTTGAGAAACTCATATTCTCCGGATCTAAGCTACGATCTTCAGGCAAGAGAAACAAGCATTTGCAGCTAGAGCAAAAAAACATCTACACAATGGCAAGGATTAAGAAATATTTTAACTCTGGATTTGTGTTGCTGCAGTTTTGCAACACTCGCTCAACAATGTCCAGTCAGCACCCCACTTTTTGATGTTGGCCTTGATGCGTGTTTTGTAGTGCTGTATCTCACTGTGGGCAGGAGGACATGTTTGCGTGTTCTGTTCTCTAAAAGCTATCCGGGAAATACTTCGCAACTTCAGTAGTCCTCAGTATATCTGGAAACTCAAACCCTAAACCCTAAACCCTAAACCCTAAACCCTAAACCCTAAACCCTAAACCCTAAACCCTAAACCACCCAAAGCCAAGGAGGGCATAGTAGACGTAGAAGTTCTGGTGCAGCTAGTGGAGCAGATCCTGGGCATCCGCCGGCGTTGGAATCCCTAAACCCTAAACCCTAAACCCTAAACCCTAAACCCTAAACCAGTCTGCCCACACTACTCTTAAACGTGCAGCACGCCGAACCGCACAGGAAGTGTCCTGTAACTCTTGTACCTACGAATCCATACCCATTGCTACAATGTAATGTCTACACTTATACGGGAGCATGCATTTTAGGGAAGCAAAGAACTAACTGCATGAAGCAAGTCTCGCATGGGTTGTCCCAAAATCGGGGTACCCCAAATAGCATTGAATCCCCTTAAAGGGACCCCCCAAAACGAGTACCCCTATTTTCGGAAAACCCCCACGTTGCGCCGAGAGGCTACAGCCTTGTGCGTCCCTGTCAACTCCGTCAAAGAGGAGGCCGCCTTCACGCAGGGAAGCCATGCACCATCCTACTCAGAAAATGTTGGGGGTTTGGGGCTTTTTTGTGAGAGGATCCTACAATTTGGGAGGTTGACCTGCACATGTCAACACAACTTCAAAACATGGACAAGTCATGGCTGCTGGACAAGCAACCAAGCCTTTTTTCCTGTGCATGGAAGGTGCATTGCTCCACATGCAGCCGTGAAACTTACGAAGCGCAGGGTTGCAACTCAGCTTGCAACTGTATTTCAAGTCGATATGACATCTCTGCATTCTGAATTCCGAGCACAAGTCACGAAGGCGGGCCTCCTGAGCCACCGAAGGCGACATGCACCTTCTTCTTGGCTGCGACTGCCTGCCTCTTATCCAGTTCGCTTCCTAGCTGCCCGAGTGTCATTCGGGCTAACTTGGACTCCGTCGGCTGGCTGATTGGCTTGCTTGCCTCATCCCTCGCCTCGTAAAGATGGCTGATTGGCTCATCTACCTCCCAGACGATGTCATCAATTGTATCTCGCAGCTCGCGGAATATCTCTGAGTCTGGATGCATCCTGCCCAGACCCAGCCACACAAACAGCACCATGCCAGTAAAAAGAGCAAGTATGATCAAGTACATAATTCCTCCAGCCCAGGCGTAAGTGCCCAGCACCCACGCTCCCACTGCAAGGGCAAATATGAAGTAAGACTCGATCATCAGCACGAACATGGTGCCAATCGTCCGGAGATTCCACACAAGGAAAGCGACACTTGGCACATCTCCCCTCAATGGGTGGAAGTAGTGAATGGTCAAGAGGCAGTAGATGAGGCAACTGATGCTCATGCCTAGGCACCACACACACAATGTGACGAAAGTCAGCCTCAAGTGCTTCCGAAACTCAGGGTCGAAGCTGCCATCTACTGTTTCAATCTCATGACCGTCCACAAGCAATCCAACGACGGTGGTCATGATAAACGATGTTGCCATCAGGTTGTTTTCGACTGCCTTGATGACTGCATCCTTGACTTGGTCAACTTGCGTGCGCCCGAACAGATTCCAGGCAATTCTTGTGCGGAAACCTAGCCAAAGAAAACCATGGAGCACAATGAGGCACGCACTGACGATGACAGGGGTTTCCCAATTCGGAACCGCCATGGCCACTTTGGGCAGCAAAGTAACAACTCTGAACCGTTGGCCAGCAGTCTTCTATTCTCGAGCGTGGGAATGCAACCGTTTCCCAAGATGGGAACACAGGCACGGCCCAAGCCACTAAACCTGGCCAAGCCTGTAGTGAAGTGTATCAAGCAGGGACTCTCTCACACGACAAGTTTTGACTCAACCGTTGCGGGTCGCGCCTGGTCGAATCTCCATGTCAACAGCGTGTGCTCGATGACGAGGATGGCGGCAGTCCGCAAGGAGGTTTGGGAGCGTTTTCAGGCACGAGGGTTCACCGTTCGCGCCCAATCTACTGCTTGGTTTCCTGCAGGCGCAGGAGCCCTAAACCCTAAACCCTAAACTCTTCTGCAATGAAAACGCTGATGCTGGGGCTTGGGCACGGCTGGGCTGTCAACTGGAGGCTCCACGGCAGGCAAATCTTGCCTCGCCATCACTGCTCTCAAAGCCAGAGCTTTAAATCCTCTTCAGCAACTTGGGGGTTTCAAGTGGGGTGAGGGCTTTTGAGGGCTCTTGAAGGGGGAAAGGAAGGACGCTTGTTGATCTGATTGAAGAGCCTTGCAAAGTCCCAGCTTAGTGGTTCAAGGGATAGGGGTTTGGGGAGGTTTGGGGCTTCCGTTGGGCAGGATGTTTTCGTTCGCTGGCCTGCTTGGCGGTTCAGGCTTGCTTCGTCGGTAGATACAAAGTCGAGTCACAAGTGGCAATTGGGGATATCTTACTACTCTTTAACCCTGTACGTAATGACTTAACAACTGCCCGCTAAGAAACCCTAAACCCTAAACCCGAAACCCTAACCCCAAACCCCGAACCCCAAACCCCGAACCCCAAACCCCAAACCCTGAACCCTAAACCCAGTCCCCGATCCTCCGAGAAGAAGGGTTGCCGCCTCACCCCTCACCCGCGCCCAGCTGAGCGCCCCGCGGGTCTTTCGGCGGCCCGGCGCCATGTCGGGGGTCCTTCGGGTTTAGGGTTTAGGGTTTAGGGTTTAGGGTTTAGGGTTTAGGGTTTAGGGTTTAGGGTTTAGGGTTAAGGGTTTAGGGTTTTGACAAGGGTTTAGGGTTGAGGGTTTAGGGTTCTGCTTGCTAGCCCAGCAATGCATATTTGGTATAAAGGCTAAGGGCACCCGTTTTGGGGGTTGGGCGAATTTAGAAGGGAACCCCGAGCCCAAGGACTAGGGCAAAGGGAAAAGGGTATCACTGGGCTACCAAGTCTGGGGATGCTCCCTAAACCCTAAACCCTAAACCCTAAACCCTAAACCCTAAACCCTAACATCCCTCCCTACAGACTGGAGCCCCTGGAGGTGCAGAACGACAGAAGCCCCTGGAGCTTGGGCTCAGAGTATAGTTTAGGGTTTAGGGCCAAACATGAAAAGCGGCGGTTTGGTGGGGTTTAGGGTTTAGGGTTTAGGGTTCAGGGTTCAGGGTTCAGGGTTTAGGGTTTAGGGTTTAGGGTTTAGGGTTTAGGGTTTAGGGTGCTTCTAAACAGTCAGGGCTGAGACTGAGTGACTTCGTACATGCAGAGGTGAAATTAGGGTACCCAAAAACCATCCCAAACCCTAAACCCTATAAGCCCTAAGGCCCTGAACCCCGAACCCTAAACTCCTGTCTTCGGCTGGCCGGCTTCCGTATGACCTCCTCATCTGGGGCCTCCGCAGGCTTGGCTGGGGGCGTTGCGGGTTCATGGGGCTGCGTATCAACTGGAGGCCCACCAAGTGTCACGCTTGCAGGCTTGGGCGCGTTGGGTGGAGGGGGTGGAGGTGGCGCCGCGCTCGGCGGCGCCGCCGGCGGAAGGGGCTTGGCCGAAGCAACCCCCATGGCCTTTCCTGGGTCAGTAAGATGCATCTGAAGGCTGGAAGCGTCACCTGTCTTAGGGGGAGGAGGGGGAACCATCCCGGCATGGTGAGTTGATGCCAGCTTTGGTGCAGGCTGCGGTGGGACGGACTTGACTGCTGCAAGCTGCGCTTCTGCACTGGGCGGCACTGCTGTCGTGGGAAGTGCTGCCTGCGCATGGGCCTTGCCGAAGGCGACCACCTCAGGCGTTGCCAAGGGGTGTGTTGCCCCTGGGGCGATCTCAGAAGCTCCTGCACTGTCCGGTGGCACGCCGGCGATGCTTTGGCTTGGCGGCGCCGCCGGCGGAAGGGGCTTGGCCGAAGCAACCCCCATGGCCTTGCCTGGGTCAGTAAGATGCATTTGAAGGCTGGAAGCGTCACCTGTCTTAGGGGGAGGAGGGGGAACCATCCCGGCATGGTGAGTTGATGCCAGCTTTGGTGCAGGCTGCGGTGGGGCGGACTTGCCTGCTGCAAGCTGCGCTTCTGCACTGGGCGGCACTGCTGTCGTGGGATGTGCTGCCTGCGCATGGGCCTTCCCGGAGGCGACCACCTCAGGCTTTGCCAAGGGGTGTGTTGTTCCTGGGGCGATCTCAGAAGCTCCTGCACTGTCCCGTGGCACGCCGGCGATGCTTTGGCTTGGCGGCGCCGCCGGCGGAAGGGGCTTGGCCGAAGCAACCCCCATGGCCTTTCCTGGGTCAGTAAGATGCATCTGAAGGCTGGAAGCGTCACCTGTCTTAGGGGGAGGAGGGGGAACCATCCCGGCATGGTGAGTTGATGCCAGCTTTGGTGCAGGCTGCGGTGGGGCGGACTTGCCTGCTGCAAGCTGCGCTTCTGCACTGGGCGGCACTGCTGTCGTGGGATGTGCTGCCTGCGCATGGGCCTTCCCGGAGGCGACCACCTCAGGCTTTGCCAAGGGGTGTGTTGTTCCTGGGGCGATCTCAGAAGCTCCTGCACTGTCCCGTGGCACGCCGGCGATGCTTTGGCTTGGCGGCGCCGCCGGCGGAAGGGGCTTGGCCGAAGCAACCCCCATGGCCTTTCCTGGGTCAGTAAGATGCATCTGAAGGCTGGAATCGTCACCTGTCTTAGGGGGAGGAGGGGGAACCATCCCGGCATGGTGAGTTGATGCCAGCTTTGGTGCAGGCTGTGGTGGGACGGACTTGCCTGCTGCAAGCTGCGCTTCTGCACTGGGCGGCACTGCTGTCGTGGGAAGTGCTGCCTGCGCATGGGCCTTCCCGGAGGCGACCACCTCAGGCTTTGCCAAGGAGTGTGTTGCCCCTGGGGCGATCTCAGAAGCTCCTGCACTGTCCGGTGGCACGCCAGCGATGCTTTGGCTTGGCGGCGCCGCCGGCGGAAGGGGCTTGGCCGAAGCAACCCCCATGGCCTTTCCTGGGTCAGTAAGATGCATTTGAAGGCTGGAAGCGTCACCTGTCTTAGGGGGAGGAGGGGGAACCATCCCGGCATGGTGAGTTGATGCCAGCTTTGGTGCAGGCTGCGGTGGGGCGGACTTGCCTGCTGCAAGCTGCGCTTCTGCAAAGGGCGGCACTGCTGTCGTGGGAAGTGCTGCCTGCGCATGGGCCTTCCCGGAGGCGACCACCTCAGGCTTTGCCAAGGGGTGTGTTGCCCCTGCGGCGATCTCAGAAGCTCCTGCACTGTCCCGTGGCATGCCGGCGATGCTTTGGCTTGGCGGCGCCGCCGGCGGAAGGGGCTTGGCCGAAGCAACCCCCATGGCCTTTCCTGGGTCAGTAAGATGCATCTGAAGGCTGGAAGCGTCACCTGTCTTAGGGGGAGGCGGGGGAACCATCCCGGCATGGTGAGTTGATGCCAGCTTTGGTGCAGGCTGTGGTCGGTCGGACTTGCCTGCACTGGGCGGCGTTGCTGGGGGGTGTGTTGCCCCTGGTGTGCTCTCATCCGCTGGCACGCTGGCATGGCTTTGTGACTTTGGTGCGGGCGGTGGCGGCGGGGGCAGTTGTGGGCTGTCATGGCCTGGCTCGGGCGGGGCGAGTGGGGTGGGCTTTGTTGGGCTTCCGGCTTTGGTTGCAGGTTCATCTGCGTCATGCGCGTCCTGACCAGTCTTCCCAGAGGACTCCTGAAGCTTCGGACCCTCCTCCGGCAACTCCGCCGCTGAGCTTGCAAGCGGCTTGGCCGGCACCTGCTTCGCTTCGGTTCGGGGGTTCGCCTTTGCGGCCATGGGATCCTGAACGATCGTCTCCTTCTTCGCGTTTTCTTCGCCCGTTGCTGGTGCTTCAGTCGGCTCAGGTGCACTTTGCCCCATCTTGGGAGAAGGACCTTCGTCAACAGACGGTATCGATGCCAGGACTTTCTCGGGAGCGGCGCCGCGAACGTCCGTGACCACGGAGTCCTCCGTACCTCCGCCTGCACCATCGGAACTTGTCTCATCGCCTGGGCCAGCTGCACCCTGCAAGGTGTTCGGGCCTTCTTGTCGGACAATGTCCGGGGCCTGCGCAGGCAAGTCTCCTTGAGATTCCGAGGGCTGGAGAGCCAGGGCTGGCCCAGCTGGATCTGCTTGCCCCAGGCCTGCCAAACCTTCCTGCAAGTTGTCTGTGGCAGGCTGCTCCGACGCCTCAGGTGCCTGGACTGGCCGCGCTTCCACTGCCTCGAGCATCGGAGGCTCGGCTTCCTGCGCCGCCGCATCCCCACTGCTCCGAGCTGCGTCGGCCTCTGTTGCCGGCGCGGGCTGCTCTACGACAGTGCCTGTCGCAGGTCCCGCGTCGGAAGTCTCTGCAGGCTCCTGCAAACGGGCCAAATCCTCCTGGGCCTCAGGGCCCGTGGCGTAGATGCTCTCCTGGCGCTCTTCCTCTTCCTTGTCCTTGGTTGCTGAGTTCATAAGCCCCCCCAAAAGTGCACACTGTCAGATCTATAGGGGGTTATCGTATCCCAAGAAGTGTAAAGTGTACTCATTCAGCTACTAAGTGTCTGCATCTTCCCCTTTCGGCTCAGGGGACTCAGCCTCCTCCAGCTCTTCGCGGTCCATCGGTGAGCCGGTCACGGCGCTCTCGGCCTGGCCGCATGCACCCCGCTGCCCCCGTTGAGCTCGCTAGGACAAGCATGCTCAGAGAGGGTTCTGAAGCTCACCCTAAGGCTCCCTCAGTTTCCCTGAGGTTCCCTAGGTACTTAACCCTGCAGAAGAGCCTCC